ATTCATATAAAACCTTCACATGGCTGTTTATGGCTGCCCTAGTCATGAGCGCCAACCAGGAATTGTGGGGTGAGTGTCCACATGCCTGATGCCATTCTAGAAAAAGGAAAGGGGTGGAGATTATGAAAGGCTGTGTGGCTGCAGGGGTCTGGGGTGAACAGACTGCAGCGGATCTTTAGGGGGATCCAACTATATTGATTGCCCACAATGGGGGATCCAGTCATCACACATTGGTCAAAACCCAAAGAATGTCCGGCACCAAGAGTGAGCCCTGATGTGAGCTGTGGACTTAGGGTAAGGATATGCTATGTTGGTTCATTGGCTGTAGCAGATGCTCCATCGGATGGGGAAGGTTGGCTACCAGGGAAGGCCATGTCTCTATGGAGAAAGGGGGGGTCCCAGAATTCTGCACTGTATGGTCAGTTTTTCTGTGGGTCAGAAACTGCTTTTAAAAATAATTTTGTTACGGTTTACTCTTTTATGTATGTAAAGTGTTTGCCTGCACATGTGGATGAGCACTACATATGTGCCTCGTGCCCACAGAGGCTGGAGGGGGGTGGAGGATCTCTTGGAAATGACTGTGAGCCACCACGTAGGAGCTAAAAACTAAACCTAGGTCTTCTGCAAGAGCAGCGAGTGTTTTTAACTACCGAGAAAAATCTCAACAGCCCGTTTTTTCTAGTTTTCAAATAAAACGAAATCATACAGAAGGAAGTGAATTGATAGAAAGAAAATTTTATATATATAAAGGAAGACCAGAAGGGCCAATGGAATCGCTCAGCAGGTGAGGAAGTTTGCTGCCAAGGCTGATGACCTAAGCTTGATTCCCTAGACCCACAGAGGGGAAGAAGAGAACCGACTCCTGCAAGTCAACCTCTGACCTCCACATGCAAGCTGTGGCATGCACTCGCACATGTGCGCGCACGCACACACAAACACACACACACAAAAAAAATACATAATTACAATTTTTTAATTAAGAAGACTCACTTTCAGAGCTGCTACTGGTGAAGGAGACCTAGCAATAACCCATCCTTTCACTCCAAACCACATACCGAACACAACAGAGGTCTCTAAGCAGCAGGAGCCACTCCAGGCCACACCGGAGTCACCACACAGCAACCAGGTGTGCCTTTGCAAAAGCTGGGGGTCACTCTGGCAAGAGGACTGGAGAGCTCATGCTGGTGTGGGAGGCGTGCCGAGGCTGGCCAGACACCACCCCAGTCCGCCGCATCCCTTCCACATGCCTGCTCCAGGAAAAGCAAGCGGGGAATGCCGAGTGTGGAGAGGGTGCCATGTACTTCACGGGCGTTCTTCTCTACATTTCTCTTCTGAAAGGAGAAAAGTGCTAAGCGGGCTGCCGAGGTGGCTACAGAGAGGCCAGGAATTTGGGAAGGGCTATCCTAGTCACCGATTCCTAGAATCTGGGTGCTCCGTCAATGCATGCCTATGAGAACGCAAGAGCCATGCTCCCTGGAGAATCATGCCGTCCCTTTCCTGCTTCGCCCATGTTCAGATTGGTTCTCAGGTAAGCCTCGTAACATCATACCAGCCACCAGGACCAAGCCCAGGCTCATTTAGATGCCAAACTCTTCATCCCACTCAGTCTGACCTTGGCTCCCAAAAGTCCTACAATTCCTTCCTCACTCATCATCGCCCCTTCTCATTCCACTTTCCTCTACTGACCTCTGCCCTGATTCGGGCCCACCGAATACTTCCTCCTTTCTTTATCCACAACCACGGGGGCTCCTGCAGGGTCAACACAAAGCAGGGGCTTCCCCATCCTCTGGACAGACATGAACAGCCTTCTCCGTGTTCAAGGGACTCTCAGACACACCTGGCCAAGCCCCTGGCATCCAGAGCCCCACCCCCCGACCCCGCCACGGATGCATTGTCCTTGCTCCTGGAACAAGGGAGGGAAGCCCCTAGGATGGCTCCCACCATCTTCGGAGTGCTGGAGAGCTGGACTGGAGGAGGGCAGCAGAGGACGGACGGGGGGATGATTATGCAGAGCCCACAGTGGCCTGCAATGGTCACCCCATTTGGAGGTTTTGAGCACCTGGTGTCCCCAGGTTCCATGGGGCGTTCTGCACAAGGAAGTGCTGCATGGTCTCAGCAGTGCTCTGAGAGCTAAGGGGCGGGGCAGGGGGGTTCTGTAGTGACAGCTGAACTCTTCAGACAATGGAGACAGCCCAAGAAGCTGACAGGGGGCCTCAGAGACCAGCACAGCTTCTAAGAGGGCAGCCCGCGAGGCTTAGAAATACAGAGACCAGCTCCGACACCCAGGATCCGTCACATCAGTCTGCAGGCCCACTTCCCCTCAGGGTTGCCAATTAAGCAACAGGTGCTCAACAAACCTTGGGTCCCACCCTATCTCTGGAAGGGACAAAGTGACAGAATAGATGGGAACTTTTTAACCAGAAAACCACACTAGATCAGTCAATTCCGTGGGGACTGGAGGAAGAACCCGGCTGAAGGAATCCAGATGCCACTGAGGGCTGACAGCAGCTGAGAGCACCCACGTGTCCATTCCAACTCACAGCAAAGTGACCATCGCAGGGCCATCGCGGGGCCATCGCGGGGCCATCGCGGGGCCATCGCGGGCTCTGCATAACCATCCTGCCCGCCCTCTGCTGCCTTCCTCCCTCCAGTCCAGCTCTTCCAGCGCATGAAGAGAGTGGGTATCACTCTAGAGGTGTCCTCTGTTCAGGAGCAAGGGCCATAACATGTCTGCAGAGTCTAAGACCTTCTGGAAAGGGTTCCAGACCCTCCTCTTGACCCCTGCACACAATCCTAAGATGAAAGGAAGGGACAGGAGCCAGCCAGACAGCTCAGCAGGCCGAGCCTGCGCCACCAAGCCCGATGAGCTAAGCTCTATCTCCAAAACCCGTGTGGCAGGAGAAAAATAAATCCTCCATCTTGCCCTCTGACCTCTGCACGCACACCATAGCGCTCTCACACACACACATTATAAATAAACTAGCTCAAACGTGTATTTTTAAAGTCAAGGACAAAATCGACTTCAAAGTGATACCACACAGCAGTGTGGTGGCACGTGCCTGTACAGCTACCGACTGGGAGGCCACGGCAGGAAGACTGAGGGTTCCAGGCCATCCTCTGCTAGTAAGTTCAAGGCCAGCCTGAGCGACATCGTGAGACCTTGTCTCAAAAAGTTAAATAAATAAGACACTGTCTAGAGTGAATCACAGTCAATGACGGTACTGAACGTAGACAAATGTCAAGGTCCATGGTTAATTTTTTAAAAAAAAATAACCCTCAGCAGGGGTGCAGGATGGAGGAGACCTGGCTAGCAAGATCACAGGAGAGACAAGATCTTCTGTGAGCCTAACATAAAAGGACAACAGCAGCAGGTCATGTGAATGGAAAACTGCCCAGCAGACTTCTGCCTGCTCACCTTGCCCCTACGGGGAGGGAGGCTCAGGCAGGGACTGTATGGTTTGTTTTGCCACAGGACCTCACTCTGTAGACCAGACTGCCCTCAAATTTATTCCCATCCTTTTGCCTTGGCCCCCTCAAGTGCTGGGATTTCAGGTATAGGCTATTATACCTGCCCTTACCACCTACACTTGCTCATGAAGTCACACCACCTACACTTGCCCATGAAGTCTCACCATCTACACTTGCCCATGAAGTCACACCATCTACACTTGCCCATGAAGTCACACCA